TTTCTACCATTTATTATGCGTGGTAAAGGAAAAGATTGTGGTGACTAATACAGATAGGCAGAGGAACGCGTAATAGTCTTCAATACACGCGTCTTTTTAATTTAATTGGTTAAGCGGATTGATACGCTATAAGCTAAACATTTATTTGTTCCTCTATATTTCCCGGAGCAGATTTTTTAAATTGATCATTACAACCTAAAACCAATTTTATTTCGTAGAATTCATTTAAGTATATTCACCTCTATGCAAGTTTTGTTCGAAAAGGTTATCACCGTTTTCAGTGTTACTTCAGAGAACCCTTTTATGTAGGTGGTTAATTACTTGCACAACTACCTTCATTAGCAAACTATGCATTATCAACTGAAACTCTAAACATTTCACCATATCGTGGACTGAATGTAAAGTAGTGAGTATTTGTTGATATTTGAATTAATTATAGGAGTTTGTCGAAACACATCTGCGTAAACATCAGTTTGGCAGAATTTCAGGTTGTTTGAATAAGATATCATAGATTTTCCACATCAAATTTTTCAGTGTACAGGTAGATACCGAACGATAGACTTTCCCGAAAACGGTAAGCACACAGGATACACTGATCAACTTTCCCCAAGGAATAAAGGTACAGTATTAAAAATATATTTAACCTCCCTTACAAAAAAAACATGAGTAGTGGTCCAGTTTATTCTGTTTCGGAAAAATTACTCGTTTGTTACCAATCTGTACACAATATAAAATTCGACGATTTGATACGCTGGCGACCTGATATAACTAGTGGGCAGTCAGTATAGGCTTTACTTTTCCACAAAATCTGTTTATGCAAATAGATCGCCTACATTCGGACTTAAATTGTGATATTACGGCAGCTTTTACTAATAAATTCAGTGTTTGGTTTTAGTAAGTAAGTTGGGTAAGATTTAGAGCGAACCGCGGGAAGCCCTAGTTTTAAATAACTAATAGGTATCTTGGATCTAAGATGGTGATTTCATTCAAAATTAGGCTCCTTATTTTCTCATTTCAGTCCACTGCTATACGTAGACCTCCTAAGGCATGATTGACCTAACTTCACCATCCAGTCACAACCAGCAGCAGCATTCTTCAAGTCATCGGGCAATCTAGCAGAAGAACGGTGAACGTTTTGCTCACTAAAGTTCGCCCACTCGAAAATGTCCAAATTGACAGCTATCAAAATCATGTTAATGCATAAGATTCATTTTTTCTTTGTTGACTTGTCTTCTAGTACCTATAGGTTACAAAGCTGTCAAATAGGATCATTCGAGTGGCCATACTTTATTAACAAAAAACTATCTCAGGATTATCAAGTAACGTAAGTCGTAACTTATAGTTATTTTGGTCGTTACGTCAATAAATACGTAAAAGGATTATCGAATGAATAAATAATATAACCAAACCAATACCAAGGAAATTCCCCTTATTCCAAGTATTTCGGACGCTAGTTAGACTTTGAAGTAGGTAAGTTAGTTAAAGCTATTATTAGTTATTTTGGTCGCTATGGTCCAGTTTACTGAAACAGATTGAGTTACCATTGACCACCCTGGAGTCCAATTAATACAGAATCTTGTTGAATATTCGATGTTTGATAGTAAAATATCCTAGAGTTTGTAACCCTTGGGGTATAAATAGAAGTTTAGGTATCTCATCGGGGCTTTGATAGTTAAATGTCAACTTTTTAAGTACTCGCGATAACTTTTATTCTTCATAATTACTTTACCGGGTCTCATCGCGAAAAATCTATCGCATTCTCGGTGGGTCACTCACAAAGTGGCTATTTATCACTTTGTGAATTTGTTCTCAGTCTGGTTGGGATATTGCTAACCTAACCAAAGGATTGTTCGAAAGGAAGAATGGTTTCGTGCTTCAGAGGGTATGTTCAGCCGCCGTCGGTCCCGGTCGCTGTCTATGATTACATAGCCGGCGGTCGATGTCAAGCAGCCTGCTACTTGAAGTAGGCGCTTAAAAAAGCTCTGACGCCAGGATTCATCGGGTCTTTGGACGAATCGATGTCCCACTCGAGAAAAATGTCCGCAAAACCGTGCGGTGTGTGAGTGCACTTTTCGAACATTGCTTGCGTTCTTAGTACATTTGAGTGTTATAGTTTCAACAAATGGAGCTGATCACCTGTCTGCGATTTCCGTAGGCTTCCTACCCGAGGAACTTAGTACCGCAACGCAACCCTAGCTTTTGTGAAATGGCTCTGAAATCTAAAGTCTGAGTGGATCGCCTACAACTTCCTTTCTGCTCGTGATATTACCCGCATTAGCTTTGACATTGTATAGGAAAGGCGACATTTCTTCTAAAGCTTATACTCTGGGTGGTACCGACGAACTACTGATCCCGAAAACGTTAAGCCCAGGTAAATCTGAGCAACTTTCCCTAAAGACCAAAGTTCAAAGCCTGAATAGATGACTACCATTTCACACCAATTAAATCCAAGACGTCCAATACTCAGTGACTGATTGATTGATTAAATTGACCAAATGGTAAGTACCAACAGACATACATACAAATATTACTCCGATATCCAATGCGGGTTAGGCAGAGCACATCACATCTGCCAAAAGTTTGAGAGTCAACTCTCAAATCCTTTCGTCGCTTCTTCGGCACACACGGGAAATATTTGGGGTGATGCTATAATAAGCCGCCATCACACGGCAAAGCAAGACTTTCTACGTAAGTACTGTAAGGTCCAGCCTATTTCAAGAGCCGGCACCTTAAATTTTCCAAATTTGAATTGCTCCCCACGTTAGAGGGACAAGTCAAGGAAGTTCTCTTAATTATTTTGTCATCTTCCGCAGAAGTATGTCGCGATTTCGTTGTTTGCCTTGGTATATAGTTCAATTTGTATAGATTCGTTAGTTTCAGTTATAAAAGTGGTAGGCTTTTACAGTACCTACAAAGACTAGCTAGACTAGACACGAGCCCACGAGCCTATTACCGAGGTTATGATTAGATCGCTCGGTTCCTGTGGAAATCCTGCGACCTTCCGCCACCATTTCCGTTTCGGCGGAGCGCCCCCACAGGCTCAGAACTACTCTGAGAATCTTTCTGAAGATGAAATATTGTTCTTGCTTTACACGTGGAACACTAAATTGACTCAAAGAACCAGGGTTGGCGGCCGATGTGTCGCAGCGGTAGTGCGACTGCCAGCGACACAGAAGATTCCATGTTCGATTCTCACAAACTTAATATTTATCACTTAGTGATTTTTCCTAGTCTGGTTAGGACATTGCAGTCCGCAATGAGTAGGAACTATAAAAATAACTTCGTACGAAATACAATAAGTAGAGAAGCTGTAAGTCTTCACTAGTACTAATGAAGTCAGGTACGGCATATACATTTTACAAAAATTTTGTACACGACGGTTATCAAAATTACAATATTTTCAATTTCTAAAAACTGTATTCGTTTAGACAAGCAGATAAATTTCTTCAACTATTTAATCAATAACCCAAATGAACAGTATTCAGTCTTGACAAAACTTATTTGATTACTACATGTGGTGTTTGACTTGGGAAAGAAACCTTATTTAGGCTGAAACTGCTATAAACCAAATGCCGGACTTCGGTCGACCTACACCAGCCTGCTTCATAATATAAGCCCAGTACGGACTTTATTAAGGCGTTACTTATGAATCTACACCAATGCCTCAATTGTGTTAGGTACCGCGATGTTTTTCCCGTGCGATATTCTATTTTGTATGAAAAACAGACTATATTTTTTCGCGGAAACTGGCATAGAAGATTTGCGCGAAAAATTGCGCGAAATAAAATCGCTGTGCGGATAGAACCCGAGGAACTGTCTTCACAAATGAGACGTGCGAAACAAGACGTAAGATGACATCGGTCACACAAGTGGTAGTCAGCCGTCATCGATGCGACGCGCGTCTCACTTTTGCAGACAGCGTCTCTTTCATCCATTTTATATGGAAACGTTGTCGACCGCCGCGATGTGTCACGTCACGTCTTACGTCTCATGTGTGGAGTTAGGGTCTATGTATTTTCACACCCGAAAAGGACATGGTCTTTTGCTATTTTGGTCTCGAGCCAGTACTAATTTACACGAGAGCGACAAACAAAAACATAATTATTTTATGAAGTGGTACACTGTTTTATTATGAAAATGTTTTCCACACTTGTGATATTTTGAGCCCACGTTTGAGATGGTACGTGCACGATAATATTTCCAAAGAGATAAACATTTTTTATCTATGGGGGGTGAACCGATGATAATTTAATTATTTTCAGTATAGTATTCTCGTAGAGTCAGTTCTAAAGCGTACGTCTACTTTTTATTAATTCAGTGAACTATTACCTTACTTCGCTGACTCAACGAACCAAAATGGTCAGCACTCTACATATTATCTGTTGAAGGTAGACTCGATATATTTCTATTCTTATACTCACCCATAATAGGATGTAATTTAATAGCCATTTAAGCTCTGCTTAGCCTGCAACGGATACAGGCGTGATATATGTATATGTAAGTATGTAGTATGACACGTCGAAAAATATTTCCATATTTCAACCTATGTTCCTTGGAGAAAGTTGTTCCTTGTCACCAACTAGGTCCAATTTCCGGTATTGGCCACTCGGAAAATTTCACCCTTTCAACTATGTTCAATTTTTGATATCTTAATAAGAAAACGGCAACATTGTCACAAAGTTAAAGAAAGTTTAGTTTATTAAAGAAGTACCCAGTAAATACTATTGCCAGCAAATCCACCTAGTCATTTAAGATACCAACTTATACTGGTTCTACTTAGTATTTTTATGAAAAGCAAGTTTTTTTTGCGTGTGGCACTCCAAGTCGTCCAACGACCCGATGAACCCTGGTGTCAGAGTTTTTCAACCGCCTACTGCAAGTAGCACGCCTCTGACGCACGGAACAATCTTGCTTTTCGGACAATCAGGTGGATCAGCCTGCAATGCACTAATCAGACTGGGAATAAATTCACAAAGTGATAAATATCAACTTTGTGAATTTATTCACCGGGAATTGAACCCGGAATCTTTTGCGTCGCAGACAGACGTACTAAACACTGCGCCAAATCGGCTGTCGATAACATGTAGAAGATTTTCCCTTTGAGTAGGTGAAATTATCTGCTGATAGTACCAGTTGGAAGTTAGCAAGTTATGTCACGAGTCAGCAGTGGACGAGTAAGTATTGTTTGTTTTTTAATTAAGCGCCATACTGTTCCCCAAGGAAGGAACTAATCTCGGCCGGAGCACGGACCGAGCAGCGCAGGATGCGGATAACTTAGACGGCGGTAGATACAAAATCAGAGTCAGAGGCCTACTACTATACAGAACTCAACCCTATTTAAAACTTTCGCGATTGGCACTTGTTAAAAAGCCAGAAGTACTACTGTCAAAAATCGCAAAGTTTATGAATATGATGAAAACAGCAAAGTCTGATACAGGAATGTCATTTATGATTCTAAGCCAATTTTGATCAAAGAAATATGACGTTCGCGGCAATCGTCTTCTTTGTTACAGTTTCCCTGAGATTCCAGTTATGTCAAGTAAAAGTTAGTAAGCGTCAAAATCGTCGCTAGTGCTGAGTGAATCTAGAATCTGTAAAGGCGCCCCGCGCGCCGTTTCCCTAATTTGTGCTTCTGCTAGTAGTAGAGATGGAAGAAGTATGCGGCACCTGCTGTGCATTTCATCCAGATGCTTCAAAAAGACTTGTTAGTCTACCTTAATTCAAGTACATTGTAAATTAAATGTATAAACAACGTCTAGGCGTGTGGGCGTCTAAAACTACGTTAGCCGAAACGTGGTTGCCATTCGGGAACCTGCACGGACCATCTTTTATCTTTACTGCCCTGTTTTTTTCATAAAAATTTTAGATCAAAAAGATACTTATAGAGATAAGCGTGGTCTGTTAGGTTACCAGGTCTTTGTGCGATGCAAGGGCTACTTACAATACTTTTCTCTATCTCAAGGAGATACAGACTAAGATACCAACTACTGTGCATAAACTTAATGTTTATGGTAACTTCAATTTTTTTATTTCCTTTCATAAATGTATACTTCAACTTTGTTTGCCAATAAGTTTAAAAGTAGGTTTTTAATTAGAAACATGGTTTGGTATCCAGATGTGAAACTTATCTGTAACATTTTCACTTCCTGAAATTGTTAGTTACGTGCTTGAGCTCAAGGTTTCGATTTCAAATTATGATTGCATAGATTTTTCTTTCTATCGTGTGGGACACCGAGCCGAAAAACGTCCTGATGAATCTGAAAATTATGTCTGCAGCCAGTAGTAGTAGACGGTTTAAAAACACTTAAACTGGAGTTCATCTTGTCGTTAGTTGACCCCAGTTGCCTACACAACAACAGCAACTTTCACAAAGAATTGCCTAATGGATGTAAAAATATCGCAAATATAAATAGGAGTTAAGAGCTTGCTACTAAGGCTGTAAACTTAGTAAATAGACTTCCCGCGAGAGTTAAGAATGTAAGCAAATATGATAGATAAGTAATGTTTCCTTTTAAGATAAAAGGTCTACTCCCTTTATAGGTTTTCTGTCAATATTAGAATATACGCGTGGTATCTACATTTTCTAAGTGTCTTTCCAAAATCGAAAAGCGGTATTTGGTATTGTTCTTCTTCTTCTTCTTCCTAGACCTTGTCCCATTTACTTCTTTTCCACTCGGTATACACAAATCACACCTTTTTCTAGACGGGGTATGCATCTTTGCATAGGTACTTCTTTTGCAATTGCAATAGTTTTTTTTGCCATACCTCAACTATGAAAGTTTTTAAGTAGTTTGAGAATACAGTTAAAAATTTACTGTTCTTAAATTGTATTCTTTCTGACACAAACTTAGTTGTACGTAATAGAAAAGCTCGGTATGCCATTTAGAACTTTTTTCATTTAAGCACATCCTTACAGTCCCTAATTTGAAAACTTGCAACAACTCCCAGCAAAGGTCCCAGCGCTGTGATTCAAACTAGATGCACAGTTAATTAAGTTAATTTTTGTCTGTAAACCAGGCGTTAATTTATTTAACGCGCCAAAGCACAAGTTTTAATTACTCCACCGTGCTGCACCGTCAACGGCCCGTTTAACACCTGGTTAACCCGCTGTTTTACTCGCGGTTTAATCCTGGTTATGACATTGTATATCCCTAGATTGTGTGTTGTATTGTAAGATGGTAATTTTATGTTTAAAATGCACGGCGTCAAGTTATAGTAACGAACATACAGAATATGCAATTATCTTATGGAAACTAATTAAATTAGATATGCGTCGTGTTTATTAAGTTCTGTAGGCAATTTGTAGCAAAATCATAGGTATGCAGAGCAGGCCTACAAGATCTATTTAATCAGGATAACATAGCTATCCTAAATATAAGATATTTCAATGAGTAATCTGATATCAAGCCGAATTTTACCTACTCATTTGTCATAATGAGTAGTTAGTAGGACCCACAGGAAAACCTCTACGGAGTTTAAAATAATGCATTAAACCTAGTAGGTAGGTATATTGATTGGTACAAATTGTCAAGCGATTAAGTTCCGCGTTTGAAGCTTGAAACTTAAAAAGAACCTTCATTATCTTTTACAGACTTCCGGACCGGAATCAAAACAAACATCCGAAGGTTTTTCCAAACCTCTCCATCCATTGACATGGTGCCCGGAGGTCAGAAGGGTCGCTGCAACCGCGGACAAACTTTGATCCTCGCCCGTGTCAATAACTTTTACCTTATTCACAATTTGATTTCATATTTTCGCGTCCTACATTTGATGCAAATACATTTGATACGGACAGAAAAATAAGATGTGATGAGATTTTGGGTGACAAACACACGAAACATCCGATTGTGCGTTATTTTTGCGCAGCTGCGTTAGGAAAATGCTATTTCTACCTTATTTGCATACAAATAACAACGCACAACGCTGTATCGACTGATGCGTCTATCAAACTAATTTTGACTGATGCGTCTATCCAACATAAACCGTATTTTAATGGGAATAAGGCATGGGTTACGTCGTGCACAAAATAACGCACAGACGCACGTTACATGTGTTTCTTACCTCTTAAGAGATTCTTTTGCCAAGTATGGAAAATGAAAGCCAAGCTCCTCAATAACAATCGATTTCGAACTTAATGGGAAGCCTCAAACTTTTATTCTAAGTAGGTATTTCCTACTAAAACTTAAGGCATATTTACGGTCGAAATATGTGTATGTGCCCTGCGCAAGAAGGCTCTCGCAACGCATTTTGCTAAGTGGAGACCTTCTTGTTACCACTGGAATGTTGTAGGATAATTGTATTATTTGATTATTTTATTTGGTAACAAATAAATATTTCTTTTTTACTTTTTTATTTTATTACTTAGGTAGAAATATCAAAAAGCTATTTTCTCCTCAACCCTGCATAATGACAGGAAAAGTCTAGTAAGTATTTTTATTAAAGTGTGCTTTAGTTTCCATTACATTGTACACAACGTAAAATCATTAAAGCTAATGAGGAAGAATCTTAATGTTACTGTACGGCAGAAAAAAACGATCAATCGCTTAAAATATAGTTGTAAAGGAACTTGATACACAAGTTCATTTTTCAGTTCACTATACAACAATAGGTGTGGCGCAGTGGTTAGTATGACTGCCTGCCACGCAGAAGATTCTGGGTTCTATTACAGATGGGGTCACTCGCAAACAGGGTTCGAAAATATCGGATATTTATAATAAATATCAAAATATCCGATATATATCAAATAAATCGGATATATATCCATTTTTTGATATTTATCGGATATATATCAATCAGTATGAAAACTTTTTATTTATTTAATTAATTATGTTGTACAGTACCTTCAATTTGATTAAAATTTTAAAATTAAGCACTATAATAATGTTAGTTTATTTTTGAATGATGATGTGAGAGAAAAATCTGTCTTTTATTGACAGACAGTAAAGCGAAAAGGTAACGCGGGTGGGTATATGCATAAATTTAGTGCGCTTAACTAATTAAACCATCCATCACGCACATCTAAAAACTCAATGAACTTGTGATTTTATGTAAATAAATATAAATAGGTACCAAACATTAAAAAGTAAATATTTACTGAATGTACCTCATGCAGGAAGAAAGTACAGAGAAATTTACATCCACCCATTTGTTACAATAAAGATACAGGTTTTAAAAATACAACTAACTTGGCATTCATAAGTATTAGTAACGAAGTAGTGACTTTTTTTGTCAATTTAACCATAAAAGTTCATTATTCCTTTCCGAAAAATGACGATATATATCCAAAAAATAAATATCATCATATCACGCGATATATATCAATGATACATATCACTTGATATTTATTAAGAAGAAAATATCATGATATATATCCGATAAATATCAATGATATATATCAAGTGATATATATCTTCGAACCCTGCTCACAAAGTTGATATTTATCACTTTGTGAATTTGTTCCAGTCTGGTCAGGACATTGCAGGCTGGACCACCTGATTGTTCGAAAAGTAAGATGGTTCCGTGCTTCCAATGGGCACGTTAGGCCGTCGGTCCCGGTTGCTGTCTATGATGGCGGTTGTTACACAACCATGTCAGAGGCCTGCTATTTGCAGTAGGCGGTTGAAAATCTCTGACACCAGGGTTCATCGGGTCGTTGAACGACTCGGTGTCCCACACGAAGAGAGAGAGAGAGAGAGAGAGATTTCACCATACAAATAAGGCTCGTGAATGTATTCTTAACTTTTTACAGATTTCAGAATCTTTTGAAATGGAAAGGGCCGTTAACAATTAGACTTTTCGTATCAAAGTTTCGTCTCCAGTTTACGAGGCTGCTGAAGGAATGTCTTGTAACTCTGTAACTTGAAGGTCTGAAGGTCTCTCTTCATTGTCGTGTTTTATGCGAGAAGCTGACAATCAAACATTTACAATCAAACTTTTGAACGTTGTCACGCTACGATTTAAATAATTTTCACGTACACTTTATTTGGCCGTGCGATATTAGCTTAGGATAGTATCACCCCATTTCATTTCGCGGGAATCGTAGGTTAGTCGGGTTTCGTGCGTATTAT